TTGGAGAAAACCACCCTGAGTTCCTGTCCTGATGCCAGTCAGTCCATTTCCTCCCTGTATGTCCCTGGGTTCCCCCAAAGCCACTGCCCAGTGCTGGAGCTCAGAGGAATTGGAACCATAAGTTCATGTGTGGGCCCTTTAAGAAGGACACCTGGGACTCCAGCAGCCTCCATGTCACTCAGCCACAATTCCCACTGGTTTTTACAGCCCGAAGTTATGGGGACTTATCTTCCTAGCTTTGAAAGTCTGGGCTGAGGGATTGGGTTGTGGCTAGGACCTCCTGCTTCTCATGGGAGGCCTTGGAAATATCCTTCCTGATTAAATAAATGCCACACATGGGTGTTGGACCAGCCTGTTCCGCGCCTTCGCCCCTCCTACCAGTCTCAATGTGCTTTCTTCCTTCTCTAGTTGTAGGACATCCATTTAGCCAGATTTCAGGTGGTTCCGAATGATAGTTCTGTATTTTCGCTGTAATTTTGATGTGGTTGTGGGAGGAAGTGAGTGCTGGCGCTTACCAGTGCCACCATCTTGGTTCTCTCTACTGTGTCTCTTTTTGTGTTTCTCCACAGAGCTGACTAACAGGGCTTTTCTCATAGATGACATTCAGTGTGGATGAGTGGATAATGTATAATTTTATAATAGCTTTTTTTCTGAGTTTAAAAAATGTTTTATTTCTATTTCTCTTTCAGACACTGGGAAACATTTCTGTTCTAATTTTTTGCCTCATTAAAGCATTGGTATTTTTATAATTTATTATTAAATTACTAAACATCAGTCTGTTTTAGGTTCAGTGCATAATTAAACCAAAAGGTAGTTCTTGCTAATCTAATTTTACACGCATCTCTTCCTTGATTAGATTACAAGCTTTTTTGAGCACATGGGCATAAGTAGAGCACGTTGCATGTAGAGGACTCTGATAACAACTTAATTGTATTATAGGAGTGTCTACTATTTCCTTGTGTTCTTTATCCAAGCAAGCAAATGGCAGTTTGGGTCATAATGCAGCTACTCTAAATGGCTGTGCTACAGCATTGGCTTTTAAATGCTCCTTTGTTAGAATGGTAGTTTACAATACTTTGTTAGAGCGGATGGAAAGAGGGTAGTTAATTGCTTCAGACACAGGTAGCTTTGCAAATTGTAAGTATAATCTTCATACCTGCTGATTAGCATGTATCAAGCATCCCTTCCTACTGAACTCCTAATAAAGCAGATTCACTGTATTTTCTGTGACTGTGTTTTGGCACACTGGCAGCCTTAGATTCCAGATAGGAATGGATGGAGCCATTTTTGAAAGCCCAAGAAATGGTCCCTGGCAAAGGTAGAAAGAATTCTCTGGTTATAGGATTGATTTGTTAGATCAAGTGACATTGTTTATTTCCAATGAAAAAGTTAGTTACATAGCTGTGAAATTCAGCAAGATGGAAAGAAAATGCCTCATTTAATAATTTGCATAGCTGAATTTGAAAGGTAGCCCAAATCTAAGCTAAAAATGGGGTAGGTGTTCTGCATAAAGCTGTTATGCTCTGCCAGATTGGCAGTTATCCCTGGATGCTGCGGGATTACTGGAACGCGCATTATATCACATTTACTCTGTGTTATTCTGCCCTAATGAGGTGGATTGGAGATCATGTTGGCTTTGATTCTGGGTGCCCTTGCTCTACTCCTGGAGTGCAGCCTTGCAGTCATTTGCAGATGACTTCTGTATGCCTTGATTTTGAAGATTCACAGACTTCGCATTGGCTTGCAAATTTATCAATTGATTATTTCAAAGGAATGCCTTAAAATGTTAGATCTCAGTATTTGCCAGTGAGCCTGCGGCAACTGGTTTCCCCACCCTTTGTTAGTGTTTGAGGAGAAGTGTGACAGGTCATAAAAAGCTCAGAAAGTTTTACTATCTACAGAGATTTTTTTAAACCTAATATTAAAAGTAAATTATTTTTAGTTACTGACCATCATTCTGAAGATGACAGGTTTTTTTCCTTAATATTTGCTTTGAGATAACTTAGGGATTACTTTTTTAAAGAAAACAACTACAAAATTGTGTCTTCAAATTCATTTCCAATTAGATATGCTTGTGTACAGCTATTCGTGGTTAAAATTACATTATTCTATGGGTCCTCATTGGTCTCAGGACAATGAGCCTTAAATCCCAGCATGCCTTTCTTGTTGCATGTAGCACATTCTGACTCTGACATTCACTCCTCTGGTTAAAACTTCGTTCACTGAATGAATGTGCCTTTATTTGCTGTGCATATTCAGGAAAAAAAAAATTAAGTTTGAATATCAATCTGAGCTTAATTACTTTTTTTTTACAATTGTGCTGTTTCAGATCATCTCTGCCACAGTTTCCCCAGCCTGGTTAATTATAGGTGGACATATGATTCGTGTTTTGACATGGCCTTTTTAAAAAAAACTGTAGTATATTCTAAACCTCCCAGTAACTGAATATTTGTTGCTATCTTTGCTTTGGCTTTCAACATAGTTGGTGAAAACAGTCCACTGATTTTCAAATAGTAATGTGCATTGAAGTTACTTGGAGGGCTTATTCGTTAAAGCACAGATTGCTGGGCCCTGCAGGAGTTTCTGCTTCCACCGTAGGTCTGGGGCAGGCTTGCGACTGCATTTCTTCCCCATGAGTTCCCAAGTGCTGCAGATGCTGCTGCCCCGGCTCCAGGCTTCCATAAGCAGGGAGCTCATCCTGCCATTTGTCCCTGTTCGGTGTTATGTCCAGTTAGTGACTGAAGAAACAATACAGAAAACCCCCAACTTGAAATATGCAGTAATCCAGAAGTTTGATTTTAAAAAGGTTTGTTGGAAGCCTGAGACCCACTTCTCTGCCAGATGAAGTATCACTTTAATGGTCTAGTGCACAAAAAACCTATTTGAATATATTTGCAAAGAAAAGCAGAAGAAAAAAAACATTGTTGCAATAGGAGTAATTGAAACAGAAAAACAATTTACTCTTGGAGGGAAAAATAAAGGGTGTGTGTGTATTTAAATCTTGAGAACTGATGCTTCAGGAAAAGCAAACGGGTGAGAAGCCAGGTAGAGACCTAGGAGGTTCCCTGGGTCCTGGATGCCTGTGAAATTCCAGATATTTTTAGAGTTTTTCTGGCAATGGTTCTAATGTTTAATTTTATTTCCAGATGTGAGGATTTTCTTCTTGATGCAAGTGTCTTGATGAGACCACTTTTAATGTTTAAATTCGAGGGAAGCAGAGAGAGGAGGGAGCTTTCTGTTAGGACACTTGGGGCCATCGAAGGTGGGAAGAGATCAGGGAGGTGGTGAGGGTGTTCCTCAGGTGGAATGGTCTGAATTCTGAGTGTGGTGGAGGAGATGGGGAGAGGCAGCGGGGGGCGGGAGGGGGGGGGGGCAAAATGAGGAAAAGAAAGGCCACAGCTAAGCTTGGAGCTCTGCAGAGATGTTTTATTAACTTTGTCTTTTACCCCAAACAAGAATCTTCTTAATGCAGAAGAATGGGTGATTGATGCCCTTGCGATCAAATGGGTTCCTATAAATGCAAGTTCACTGGTTCTAAACGGGGATAAAGGAAGATGAAAGGCTGTGAAATCTGCCACAATTAGCTCTGGAACGTTTACAGAATGTCTGCATATATTGCCATAAATTAGGGAAAGAATGCCACTTCTGCCTTTTCCTTGGATTCCCAACTTTGTCTCAAAATAGCTTTCAGCTTGACTCGTGCCTCATTTATGTGAATCACAGTAACTGTTCTTTTTCAACAGATTCTATGAAGTTATCTTTTTAAAATGTAATAATAATTCCTGTGTACCTTAATATAAATTTGAGTCTTGGTTAAAGACCAATGTAAACATAGGAAAGGGTTTTGTAAGTCCTGCTTTAGACCAAGTTCAGTTCATGTAAACATCCTACACTCAGCTGTAATACATGGATTGGCTGGGAGGTGGATGTTTACTTCAGCTGTCTTGGAATGTCAGCCATTAACACGCAGGACTTGGCAAGAAGAGTATACAGGGGCGTGGTTTTTTAATGTAATTACTGTACATTTAAGCTACTGTCCTATCTTTTCATTTGTGTTTTTCTGTCTCTAACAGGACACATAAGACTTTGCATATTCAAACAAAAGATTGTCCTTATTTGGTGGTTGGGTCGTATTTGTAGGCATCTCTGTGTGCTTTAGCAAGTGTGGGCTTTGACATCATACTTCTGTAGCCATCTGGGCTCTGTCCCCGAATTTGCTAAGTGATTTGGAGGAGGAAAAGGAACTTGTTTTCACACCTCGGTGCTTTTCTCATTTGCTAAATAGGTACAGCACCCACTTCGCCAGATTGTGGTAGGATTGACCTATATGATGCAGGTAAAGTGGCTCATTAGTCAGTGCCATCACATTACGTGCTCAGTAAAAGCCAGTTGTTACTAATGCTGACTACAGTGTTCAATAAATCACTGCTGGCACATTTCAAGCAGACAACTTGGTTTTATTTTAGCAATAAAGATGATGTCAACTTTCTGATTTAATGGAAATGGTTTGCACTTTGGATACCACCGTAATTTAGTGGTAAAGAGTTTTGAAGCCCAGCTTGAACTCATATTCTGGTTCTGCCATTTATTAGCTACCAGTATGTTACTGTGGGGAATTGATTAACCTCCCCATGCCTCAGTTTCCCCAATCTGCCAAAATGGTATAACATTACCAACTTAATAGGATTGTTATAAAATTAAATGAGTTAATACCAGTAGTATGTTAGAATAGTTCCTGGTACATACTAAAGTCTTGATAAGTGGTAGCTGCTGCTATTTTAAAAACATGTTTGTCATATGTTATTTTTCCCCCAGGATCTAGTTGTGTCATACATTGCTAAATTTAAAGAGAATACGTGATAATTAATTCTAAATATGTATTGTTTTGGCGTAAATGGTACTTTCATATTTTGTGCTTTTATTAAAAATACTTAAAATTATTTTTCGTTAGCTTTGTTTTTCAGTTCCATGAAATCAGCTTTACTTTTCATTTTTTTTAGTAACACATCCACATTCTGTATAAGTAAGAAACAAAACCACCACCACAAAACCAAAATTACTTAACAAATGCACGTCATTCTGGCTGCGTGGGAGGGGCTGTACCCTTGGCTCAGTCCAGAGTTAGGATCCACATTTGATGCTCCTCCTGGGGAAGACGCTTCATGTTAGGAGACATTCACAACTAACAAGCAGTGTGAGCTGAAGGCGTGGAGACCTGTTCTCGAAAGGTGAGTGCTAGCGTTCTCATTACGTGGTACTTGTTCACTGAGCTAGTTTTTCAGTATTTTCTTTATTAAATGGGGGCTGTTCTGTTATTTTTTCAGATGTAAAACATATCTCAGTGAGTTTCACATAGTCATTTGAAACTTGTCAAGTGCTTACATTACTTTCTAATTTATAATACTTCAAGGAAAATATCACAGTGCATTAGGGAAGCACCATATAATCTAAACGTAGTTTTATGAAATGTATTTTTCAAATTAAGCCTATTTGGGAATCCCTATCAACTTACCTTTGAACCTCAGTGAATTTTCTTTTCTATTCTCCAATATAAAAAAATGCTTGTGTGTTGTGTGCTTTAGGCTGTCAAATGGCCTGTAAGTTAAATTCCTAATTCAAGTGTTTTTTAATTCATTGCTCTTTTTTCTTTTGCTAAATGGTCATGTGTTTATATCTTTATAGTATATACTTTTCTGATTATATTATGGGGTCTTTGATTATGTGGGTTATCAGCTTTGTCTCACTTTGTCACTTAGAAAAGTCTCTACATTAAATAAGTGAAAATTGGAGTATTTATCTTATTTTAATGAATACAATTCTAAGTTATACTGAGCTAACCCCCACCTTTATAAGAAAATACATATCTTGATTTCTTTAAAAACTGTACATATATCAGAAATGTAATAGAAATTTATTTTCTGATGAACATGTGCTTATCAGTTTTAAATGTTACAGAATTTAGGTAAATGTTAAAATGTCCCCATTTCTGTCAATTGCCATTTGTTATTTATTGGTTGATAGAGAACAATATAAAGTTGGATTTCTTGGATAATACTTGGATATGTTCTGAAATGAAACAGTTTTCTGTCCTTTGAAGATTTAATATCTCTTCCTTATCATAATTTTGTAAGCCTTTGGCATAAATTATCTAACTTCTCCCTGTTTTATTATATCTTTCTCATTTCATTGATTCCCAGTAGTCGAATATTATGGTTCCAAACAAATGTTGCCTACAGACTTCAGTAATTAAAAATGTCAGTTAAAATGGGGGATCTGTGATATATGAGAACTTACCTTTTAGTTCTATTTATTTTAGTTTTTTAAAAAAGTGATTCTAGCCCTCACTGGTTTGGCTCAGTGGATAGAACGTCAGCCTGTGGACTCAAGGGTCCCCCGATTCCGGTCGGGGGCATGTACCTTGGTTGCGGGCACATCCCCGGTGGGGAGTGTGCAGGAGGCAGCTGGTCGATGTTTCTCTCATCGATGTTTCTAACTCTCTATCCCTCTCCCTTCCTCTCTGTAAGAAAATCAATAAAAATATATATTTTTTTAAAAAAAGTGATTCTACTTTTTGATAAAGGTCAAAGTGTTATTCAGTGCAAAATAATATGCAAAGTTACAGTAAGTAACTATATGATCTCTTTTTATTGTTAATGGCTTAATATTTAGGTTTTTAAAAACTAGAACTATGCTAGTACCAAATTCTGGATGAAAATGAAAGATTTTTCATTTGTTTTTGTTTCTTTAACTTTTATTTTTATTTTTTTAAATATATTTTATTGATTTTTTACAGAGAGGAAGGGAGAGGGATAGAGAGTTAGAAACATCGATGAGAGAGAAACATCGATCAGCTGCCTCCTGCACACCCCCCACTGGGGATATGCCCGAAACCAAGGTACATGCCCTTGGCCGGAATCAAACCTGGGACCTTTCAGTCCGCAGGCCGACGCTCTATCCACTGAGCCAAACCAGTTAGGGCTGTTTTTTTATTTGTTTTTGTTGTTGTTGTTGTTGTTGTTTGTTTGTTTTTTAAATATGTTTTATTGATTTTCTACAGAGAGGAAGGGAGAGGGATAGAGAGTCAGAAACATCGATGAGAGAGAAACATCAATCAGCTGCCTTCTGCACACCCTACTGGGGATGTGCCCGCAACCAAGGTACATGCCCCTGACCAGAATCGAACCTGGGACCCTTGAGTCTGCAGGCCGACGCTCTATCCACTGAGCCAAACTGGTCAGGGCCAGGGCTGTTTTTTTAACTTTTAAATCTTCACAGAGCTACCAGTCAGTACATTATGAAACCAATAGCAGTTTCACATTTAGCATTTTTATATGTATATAAATTAGGATTACTTTTTTTATTAGCCTTAACTTCCTTGAATTTAATGGAAAAGAACCAGTCCCAAAGGTGTTTTTATAATTTAATACACATTATTCCTGTGAGGCTGAGTACAACATAAAACCGTTCCATGAATCCAAATCTTAGCACAGAACCTGTTCTGCTGCTTGACTGTCTTGGGACTAACCAGAAGCAATTAGAACTGGTTTAAAAGAGCTGGCCTTTCCTGACTTAATTCAGAGTGGTTCTTTAAAGATTCTTCAGCTGTTTGTCCTAGTGTTCAGTATTTGTCCTACTGTATAAAAATATTTAAAAGGGTTTGGGCTGTTTGTTTTGGTTTTTTAAAACTAGTTTGAGAAAGTTTCTTTGCTACTTGTTCTCCATGCAAATTTATAATAGCTCAAATTCCCCCAAAGGAAGGATTTTTGTAAGGTTAAAAGTATCAAAGGAAAAAAAAAAGTATCAAAGGTCTCTAAAGGTATACAGTTGCCTTAATTTTGACATAAGTTTTCCTTATCCTATAGGTTATATGTGAAAATTTTGTTTGGGGCATCCTGTTTATATTTATCAATCACTTGCTTAAAACAATCTTCTGTGTATAGTAAGTAGCATAAAAAGATTTTATGTTAACAGAATGCTGAGCTACTTCTGAGTAAAGGTATGAGTATGAATGAGAAGTACAGTTTGGGGACTGGGTATTTGACAAGTCCTTATTTTCAGATAACTTTCTAAAGTTTGATTACTAATCTATTTAGAGTAAAATGTGCAGGTGCCCCTTTTCTGTTCCGATTCAGGTGCCACAGCCCTCCTTTCTGTAACACTGTACCTGTGATACTCCTGCATTCTCCTCTGTGCTTATACACACATGTACCTGGCTGGTAGGGTGGTGGTGTTAATATCACCATGAGGTTATACTATATACTAGAGACCCAGTGCACGAATTCGTGCACAGGTGGTGTCTGGCTGGCCCTCCCCGATTGGGGCTGATCAGGGCCAGGCTGGCCAGGGGGAGGGGCCGCGGGCGGTTGGCTGCCCGGCCCCGCCCCCAATTGGGGTGGGGGGGTGATTAGGGGAGGGACCGCGGGCGGTTTGGGGGGCTGATTGGGGCCTCCATCAGGCCAGTTGGCCACTGCAGTGCGCGTCATAGTGACCAGTTGTTCGGGTCATTCTGGTCGTTTCTTTATTCCGGTTGCTTTGCTTTTATATATAGGTAGATAGATCTTGTACTTTTTCAAGCATTTGGAGAACTCATATTTAGGTATCAAATCTTCCCATTCCTTATATAAATGTACCATAATGTACTTCTTTCCTTATTGTAGACCCATAGGTTGCTCTAATCTTTCACTGTTATAGGCAGTCCTGCAAAATACAAATATTTTGGTGCATAGGTGTGACTATTTCTACAAGACAGTTTATAAAGGCATAATTGCTGGGTCAAGGAACATGTCTATTTAAAATATGGATAGCCCTGGCCAGTGTGGCTCAGTTGGTTGGGCATCGTTCAGTGCACTGAGAGGTTGCCGGGTGGATTCTGGTCAGAACACATGCCCTGGCTGTAGACTTGGAGTGCAGGAAGCAGCCAATCAATGTTTCCCTCTCACATGTTTCTCTCTCTCAAAATCAATAAGAAAACAATATTTTAAAAAATAAATAAAACGTACATAGGTACTGCTGAATTAATCTCCAAAGAGTCTGTGCCAGTTTCTACTCTGATTAACAGTGCAAGAGCACGTTTCTTTTAGGGAGGCCTTTGCCCTTGCTCCAGGTGAATGAGAAGTACAGTTTTTCAGTTTTTGCTCATCTGAACGCTACAAAGTAGCGTATCTTTTGTATTTGCATTCCCTTGTCTAAAGGTGAAGTTAGCAAGTTTTCATATAGTTGTTGGCTTCTTTCATTGTTATCTCTTTTTGTTGTTGTTAATCCTCACCCGAGGGTATTTTTCCCATTGGTTTTTAGAGAGAGTGGAAGGGAGGGATATAAGGGTAGAGAGACATCAATTGGTTGCCACCGCATGCGCCCCGACTAGAGCCAGGGATCAAACCTGCAACCCAGATACGTTTACATGCCCTTGTCTGAGAATCGAACCTGCGACCCTTCGATGCGTGGGCCAATGCTCTGACCACTGAACCACACCGGCCAGAGCCATTGTTATCTTCCTGATTGCATGTAACCCTGCGGCAGCTCCTTGGGGTGAATGTTTGCAGTATATTTTGCAGTTGAGGAATCTGGGACTCAGAGAAGTTGGGTTGCGTTTTCTCCCAGAGCAGTCACAGTGGTGGAGATCCCTGACTTTGGAGGCAGTGCCCTGGACCCTTCAAGGGCTCATGCCCAGGATGTGGGTCTGGCCATTGGTGAAGATTAAACATTAACACGTGGAAGAAGTCCACTCTTATATGTAGCCAATCTGGAATGGAACATCCATAACTTTTTAATGTGTGTGATTCTGATTTTCAGTATCTTTTCAGAACCAGGGTATGCTTTGCTTCCAAGTAAATGTTTACTTTTGTCCCTGTCTTATTGATAAGTTTGTTGATATTTTTTGGCTCCTGTCACTTTTCATATTGTTAAGTGTTTTAGAATCAATAGGATTTATAATTGGGTCTTCACTTTAAGATGGGAAGTAAAACACTGATACTAAGAGAAGTGCATTTTATTCTCTCACCTGTGTGTGAAATCGGAACCAGAACAAGAGATTATAGTTGCACAAAGTTACTTGCACTGGGATCCTAGTCAGGATTCATAGTGGTCCACCTTGAACTTTTAAAGTAAAGTATGTTTTTAAACTGCATGTACAATAAGTATGATAGTGTTACCCTGGGGAAGCCATTCAAACTCTTTTCATATAAAGCATTCAAACCTCAGCTTCGAACTGAACAAACAAGATAAACAGTTTGCACTGTTTGCTTATGTATAACAATAGTTGACCATATCTCCAGCAGGCAGACAGGCCACCAAGGGCCGACGTCAGAGAAACTAATCAGAGTGCTCAGAACACGTGACATGGCCAGCCAGACAGGGCATGTAACCAGGGCCGGAGAGGTGGCACCCTGGGCCAGAGCACAGGTCTTTCCTAAAGCGTCAGACACCCTGGGACCACAGCGCATGCCTTGCCTTCACTTCCCTCCGTAGTTGGTCCAGTGTGGGCAGCAGTGTTCATAGACGTCGGCAAACCTGTTTGACTTGTTTCTGTCTCCCGTAGCCTTGCTGTGCAACCCTGTTATTTCTGGCAGATACCTTGTTTTAAACACAGGCCGAGCTGCTGAATTGTGTGTCCCGTGCCACACGCAGTCAGTGCTTCACCCTCTGTGAGTCCACATGTGATTTGCGGTCGCTCTCAGTGCCTTGGAGTGTTGGAAGGAGTTAAGGGAGAAGCAGGAAGAGGATAATAGTTTCAGGACATGGTGATCATACAACAGACAGGCCCTTGAGAGAAGAAAGGATATAGCTCTGTCTTTTTATGTGACCTCTGGCTAATTCCTGAAGCACGCTGGCCTCATACTCCTTGTCCTTAAATGAGAACATTGTAGTCTTAAAATAGTTCCAGAGACATAGAACCATGAACAGACTGATGAATTTCAGAGGAAAGGGAGGTGGAGGAGGAGGGATTAACCGGGTTACTTATATGCATAGCCTATGGACACAGACAATACTGTGGCAAAGGCTTGAGAGGGGCAGGTGTAAAGGGGGGAGGTCCGTACGGGGGGGGGGGGGGGCAAAGAGGACATCTGTAATACTTTCAACAATAAAGATAAAAAAATTTAAGTCCCATTCCCTCTGTGACTCTACCCAGTGCTCTAGCTATCGTGGGCTCGTGTTTATGTGTATGGCAGTAGAGCCAGTTTAGCGGTGAGTTCAGGTTAACCCACCAAGGCCCATCTGGGAAATGGGCTTCCTAGCTCCTAAATTGTCGTGCGGATTGGATTAGATAGCCCAGCTAACACTACCTGGCCCCTGCTGAGCACTGGGGAAACCCCCTTCCTCAAGCTGATGTCATCAGGTCTTCATAGTGT